AACCGAACGTAACCGACCGAATTTTTTAAAATTTCTAACCGAACCGATCGTAACCGAAAAAATCCCTAACCGAACCGAACGTAACCGACCGAATTTTTTAAAAATCTCGAATCAAACCGATTTCGGTTACGGTCGGTCGGTTCGGTTCGGTTAAAAACCGAACCGGTCCCATCTCTGTTACTTACGTTATACGGGAAGAAAAAAAATACTGTGGTATTTCCAGTCAGTCTCACCCATTCTAATAGCTGCGAATGAGTTGTTAATTCGTTATGTTTTTATCTAAGAGTTACTCGGACTATAGATCAGATAGAATGTTTTAGTTTTTTACATATAAAGATTCGCTTTGCAAAGGAATTTTAAATTTGAAAGAGACAAATTTTGTTTACAAGGAGTTCAGCCGTTTGAGAAAATCGTGAGTATTCAAATTGAGCATAATATGATAGGGTTCTTCGTCGTTAGGTCATTTCATAGATGCAATCTAAGAACGATTCAACTGCGAACCATTAGATCATTAGTATACTCGTACTTTCTGTTCTTCTTCTTTCTTTAGTGGTATCGAGGTTTTTTTACAACACTCAAGCCTTAATTCAGTACTTTGTTGTACTTTACTTTTGTAAGGGTACGACCAAGCTCCTTTTTTAGTCTCGACCATGAATTTCTGAGGAAGATAGTTACCTAAAAAAGGGTCTATACACTTTTTTAAATGCATTTTCAGTGATGCAGCAGTTTAAATCTTTCATTGCTACGTTCTATGTCGTTTCATGTCAGTAATATTTAAGATAATTGAAGATGTGCTTTTAAGCTAGTTGGAAAAGATAACACAAAAAATTTAAATTACTGTATCACTAAAAATGCATTTGATAAAAATGTATAGGGCTCTTTGTAGGATTGTCTTCTTTAGAAATTTATGGTGGAGACTAAAAGTAGAACTGGATAGTACTCTTTCAAAAGTAAAATATAACTACGTACTGAATTGAGGTTGGGATGTTGTAAAAAACTCCATACCGCTCTAGCAAGAAGAGAAACACAGATAACTGTTATTCATAAAATACAACTAATAAACGCATAAAATAAAATTTTCGAAAATAGTTCAAAAAAATTGCATACAATTTGACGCTTAATTTTATGTTTTTTAATGCGTTTAAACGCTCAAAAGTTTTTCACTATTTTTGAGAAAAAAAAGTAGCCGTTTTTTGCCATCAAAAATTTAGATGCAAAAAATCTGTACAAAGGGGACAAACTATATAGAAAATTAGACATACTTTTTTTGATACTAAATTAGTACAAAAAGTGACATGCTTGTCTGCCCGGGTATCGACTTTAATTGCTTGAAAGAGTTTCTCGATATCATAAAAAATTCCTTTCACTTTTTCTCCCCATTGATTACTCCAGTTTACTTGCTTTTCTTTTTCTTGACTAAATATATAAATAGATTGAAGTTTTGGTTTATCGAAAACAGTTGGTACAAGTTGTTCACCGAATGCATCCGAAACAATAAGAGCAACATTTTTCTCATTAATAGTGTCTAGACAATGAATACATTGATCAGAATTAGTAAATGTGTAAATCAAGTTGGTAATTCGTTGAAGTTTAGTAATTGAGCTGTGATAGTTTTTTCAGTACTATCAATATGAGGATCCGCCCATATAATAACCAAATCGTGCTTGGCATCGTCCTGTGAATGTAATGATGGAGTGATAGATTTTTTTTCTCCAATGGGTGATTTTAAGACTGTCGAGCAAGTTTCAGATGTAGCACTTTTTATTCTGTCAGGATCATTCGTTGACGATGAAGCATTAGATGGAACCACTGTAGGATTAATACTCTTAATTTCTGATGAAGGCCCACAACCCATAGTGAATTATGTTGTTTTATTTCGATAATATATTCAAATGGGCCACTTGACGAAGAAAAAAAGATATGGGCAGCAAACAGTTTCAGTTTATTCGTGTTCTTCACATTTTATAAAGTCGACAGTTAGTTTTTCTTTAGACGATTACTTTATTGACCTTGGAAGCTACTTCTCTTTATGTGAACACTTTAGGGTGAAATATAAAACAAAGAATGAAAAATTGCCAACGATAAGAAAGACGCAAGTATAAAAATGCATGCATTCAATACCGACTAAAATGCTGCGAGATTGTCGACTTGAAGAAAATAAAAGACTAAAAAGAAACATTGAGAGTTAAATGGTCTTTGTTGACGACGGCTTACTTAAAGCAGTAGCAGTAATGTTTTTTTGTTTCTTTCTCCATAGTTACATAATCATTCTTACCTATTTGAAACAGATGAACATTGCTCAAAAATTTCAGTGGCGTGCAACTTGAAATTTGAATATCATCGAACAAAAACTGTCGAGCTCCCAGGTTGCTTAGATTTTTCTAACGTTCTCGAAAATGATGAAAACAAAAAGAAAGATTCATATCCTATTCGACTCTCTTCCAAAATTTGACTGAATTTTCTTTGACTTCAAACTTATCAGAAATCTCTGTAGATATTTTTCTTTGCCATTGCCGTCTAAATAAATATCGTGAACACCACAAAAACCTTGGAGTACCACTTGTTGGATTTTGGAGGTCGCTCTCTGATAGATAATTAAAATGACGTACGGAGTTGAAACTGAAAATTGCTTCTTATCTTCTAGGAAACTTGGATATAAAGTCTAACAACTCACTGGAAAAGGATTGTTATAATTGATTATATAAGGATCTCAAATACTCAATATATTGATATTCTTAATTAGCACATTTGGATCTAGCAATGAATATGAGTTTTAACAGACTTACAGATACAACTTTTCTAGCAGATTCGCATGTAGCCCATGATGTACAAGAACTCAGGTTTGAAATATCATCAGGTATCATATCCTACTGCAAATAAAAAAACGACAATTTAATCGGAAGCAGAAAAATTCTCTTATCCATACATGGGTATAAGTGAATACGAACGACTGCTTCACACCCACACTCATACCCACACCCTAGGGTCCTGTTTCACATGTTACATCCTCAGGAATCGTGCTGAAAGTATATTATTATTTTGTAAACATTTTCACTAGCATTAGTTTCCACTATCTTTCAATGTAGCGAAAAATGAAGCGATATCCGATGAACATTGGTTTCTTTTTTAGATTTAAGTAAAAGCAAACCTCTAGAAAAGTGAAAAAAACATAATGTCAAGGTGAAATGATGGAATTTAATCATATGTTTTCGAAGCACTCTTGCAACGAATTCATGCAATATATCCAGTTAATTCAATTCGAAAATAATTCTGGTTCCCATCAGTGGAGTAACCTCCAGTATTCAGCGAAGAAATACTATTAATTATTAAATTGAACGATCCATGGTTTTCATCGGTATTCCATGGAACAATTAGTTCTTGTTTATGTCTGGTGAAATAGGCGTTATATGTTTGTTCACTGAAAGTGGTTTTCTGGTCATTAGCACTATCTTCTTGATACGCATCAAATTCGAGATAAGCATGTCCGTTTGGATAGTTACCATGTACCAGCGTTACAGATAGCAGAATCGCTTTGATGTATTCCTTCGCTGGCAAATAATTTCGTAGACTGATAGAATACTGCATAGTCTGGTGGTTCAGCTGAATTCTCTGTAATCCCGCTGGGGTCAGCGTTTGTTTTGACGATTCTTTTCATAGCCCTTTGCTCAAGAAGTTCAATGCGACGATATAATATTTCAATGTCTTTATTATTATATGCCGAGTTGCTGGAACCTGAAAACGATGAAAAAAGAGTCATATGTTAATTCTCAGGTACTTTGTACGGCTCTGAAACATTATCGACTAAAAGCTCATGAAAATATTGGTGTAGGACTCAGAATAGCTTACTCAGAGAAGCTCAAACCGAGTTTGGTAAACTAATGAAGCGCAACACAGGAAGGGTAAGCTGTTACTTTTTCAGATGTTACAGAACAGCCCAACAAAGGCAATGCAATAGTTAGATTCATTCCTTTATTCCATTTTGAGAGATCTCTATTTTTAATCGCGTTACTCGGAGCGTAAAGACTAGTCTATTAGG